TCCAATTCCATGAGAGGACGCTTCGAGCTCATCCTCGTCGTAGCTTGATGTTGGTGCGTAGGCGACGAAGATTGTCAAAGCTGGAGTTGAACCACATCTTCTCCAGTCTCGTAAACGGCGTGTAGCGGGCGATGCCTCCTCGTCTCGGTCAGTCCGATGACGTCGTACTTGATCTTCCTGGCTTGCAACATCAGATCTTCGATGTGAGCTTCCGATGCAAGCGTCCGTGCGTTGAAAGTACAGATCGTCATCCTAGTCCTGGGCGACTTAAATCTCCGTTGGCCCTGTGATTCTTGCAGCCTCGCCCGAGCGGTCCCAGCCGACGTCGCCCTGTCGGTGGTTCCCTCAGGTTCAGGGGAATGAGGCCCATAATTATTACTGTTTTCGGCGAGAAGAAATTTAACCACGCGTAGCTCGCCAGGCTCTGACGTGGCACCCTCCGCATTGGTACGGTGTTGGAACAGTCCAAACCGTTCACCCCACGCCACGTTGAGGCTGCGGATAGGATTTGTGGGGGATGATTATATATAACAGTAATAATGTAGGCCGTATATTATATACAGCAATAATAATATAAGTTGTATGAGTTCGCAACGGTTGCTATCCAAACCATGCCGAGGTCGCCTCTTTGAAAAAAAAACTCACGCGCTTGTTCAAACCCTTTTCATTGGGGCGTCCATTTTATTACAACAGCCCGGAGGTGAATTCAAAAGGCTCATTCTACTACGGTGAGCATCGTTACAACGATGAACTTCATCGTTTATATTGAGTCATTGGTGATGATCAATAACTAACAAGTTATCGAGTAGCAGTTAAGGAAGTCCGTGCAACTAATTCTTACTGGTTTCACAAAGTCCTCTGAAACAAATTTGGATCTACTAAATAAGGTAGAGAACTCAACTTAGCGAACTTTGTACTAACCATAAGGATGCCCTACTTGGATCGTGAGTCGCACTATTCTTTCCCTGAGCTCCTCTAGGTCCAAGACCATTACTAGATCCTAGTATGGTACTGCTATGGGAGAGGTCCGTATGAGGCCTCTGAACCACTTCGGGCAAGGGGCTCGCAAAATAGAGCGCTCCCAATGGGAAGGATTCATGCTTCGGAAAGCGGAAAGCTCCCACCCTTCCCGTACTTGACGGGCTATAGTTTTCTTCCCGAACGAGGAATGCTCCTTCATTAGCGTTCTCGAAGAATCCACGAGATCAATTTCAATATGAAACCACAAATCAAGATTGCGTTTAATAGACCACTGGAAACAATGGCTAAACGATGGTAAAAAACGCCTCATCGCGGTAAGCAGCTTTGAAAAACAACACTGGTTATACAGTTAAAACCATGAGAAAAATAGGATCACATCAGTCACGAGGTGAAATTCATTTTATGTATGTTATATGTTGTTGCATTGCCCATACTGAAAATGAGTGCGCGTTCGGAGAGCGGAGAACATAGTGATAGAGACAGGGCCACTAAGATAGTGGATAACATGTCGTTCTTACGGTGGGACAGATTCAGCCACCCTTCAATCTAGAGATTTCCTACATTTCGAAATTTAGACTGAGAAAGTATTTTGTTGAACGCGGATTCAAAAATGTTGAAAAAATTAATGTGGTCACCCCCTTGATTAATACACAATTCAGCCTGAAAATAGCTTTATAATAGCAGGGCAAATGATTGCAATTGATAATCATCAGTCTTAGCTTGAGATTCTCCGAAAGGCTGGATGTACGGACGACCCTTACCCAAATTTGCGCCAGCTCACTCTGCGTCTCTACCGCTTCGGGGGATCCCCTCGAGTATAGCATACGGCCGCTCTAGGGATCGTCCCGCCGGCGTGTCTTTCCCTTAGAGGGGCCTCCCCAGGGGATTAATTAGGTTGTCCCAAAAGTTCGTGGACACTTTCAAACTTTTTTTGAATTAAGTTTATTCCAGTGTAAACAATTTTGATCAACTATGTATATGTCACCTTCATTGGCAACTTGTTGCCAATCACTATGGTTGCCCTGCTTCCAGAACCCTCTTAGTTCTGTGCCCAGATGGCCAGTAGTATTTTTTTAACACGATGCAGCTGCAATTCCTGCCTCTCAGGACGCTATAGCGGCACTATCAATAAATCGATTTTTTTACAAGTAAAGAGGCCGCTTGGAATTAGTTAGATGGGCGATCAAAAAGCTAAGTCAGTCAGGGCTACACGAAGATGGGATTCCCCAGCTAAGCTTTGAGATCTCGAGCAATGCCGTTTTCCAAATGTGTGACCCTGAGCTGTGTTGGAGTAGGCAAAAGTTGTCGGTTTATTGGCCAAATGTAGGTTCCACCCACTTGTTGCAGTTTGATTACAACAGGGGATCCTGATTAACCTATAGTTGGAAGAAATGAATTTCGCGTTACAGAGAGCGTGAGAGGTTAATCCAAATAATACAGTGGCTTCAATCCCTAACTGGATAGATAGGATTGGCCGCGATCGTTTGCCTTTCTGGGGATTTAGCCGTGGCACTCGCGAGGAGTGACTTCATCAGAGCACCAGTCCGTATTCATTACAGGTGTTCAACCAGCCGTACAGAGGAAGCGAGATAAGGTTGTAGACAGTACCCCATGTGTCCCGCTTGGGAGTACTG